GGAGTGGGGGGGGAGTGGGGGTGGGTAGGCTGGAGTCAGAGAGGGTGGAGATCTTCAAATTTAGCATGCAAACAGTACCATTTACATTTAGTGAGGGACCTCCCCTCCCCTGCAATAATACTGAGTGTTCCCTGGCCCAGAGACTTTTCTTAATCCTTGTTTGAGAATAAGTCTCTGGACTCTTGCCATGGTAGAAGAGGGATAATCTCAGAGCAAAAATTTTATAGTGACCATACAAATAACCAAGGCACAAAATTTGCCACAGAGCCCTAAACCTTGCTGAGTGGCCCTAATGTTTACCCAACAGCATGAAATGGAAGAAGGAATCTAGGGCAAGGTGCACTCTTTGTGAACTTTTCCTGTGAAGGGCCAGGGAGGAAATGTTTTAGGCTTTGTGGTTATAACGGTCTCTGTCACCACTATTTAACTGTGCCCTTGCATCTTGAAAGCAGCCATGCACAATAGGTAAATGAATGGTCACGGTTGTGTTCCAGTAAAACTTTATGTACAAAAAGGTGTGGCAGGCTGTAGTTTGCTAACTGCTGCTCTAGGGCATCGGTTTGTTACCTTTCAACCAGTCCTCCTTAGTTTAGCCAAACATCCCCCTTTACCTCTAGTTCCAGTATTGCTATCATCTGAGCACTTTGGAGATATTTAGTGTAACTTAGATTTTTTTTCTTGGATTCCTCCATACTGGCTTAGGAATTGGCTCTCTCCAGTCTGTGGAGTCAACCACCATTCTGCCACCTCTTTCCAACTTGGAGAATTATATTCTCCATTCCTCTCCCGTTGCTTCTCTTCCTTAGTGTTCTTGGTTTCAGAAGGCATCAAATTTAGATGCTGTTTTTACTCAAAATTTTGCCTGTAATTTCAAACCCTCTTTCATTTCTATACATATAAAGAAACATACCTATTTTATATTGTTTCTTACAATTGTGATATCTGAACTCTTTGTGCATCTAATTCTGTTGATTGCTGTTTCCCATGCGTATGTGGCCTTGTTTCCTTGTTTTTGTGTCTTGATTTTTTTCTAATTTTATTTTTTATTTTTTTCCTGTATGCTCGTGTTCTTAGAGCTTCCTCTGAGAATTAATTGAGGACTGGGTTGAAGTTAATTCATTTAGAATTTGTTTTTGCTTCTGTCAGTTACCAAGGGCCACTATCAATTGGGACCTTTTTTTTTTTTTTTTTGAAGATTTTATTTATTTGAGAGAGACACACAGTGAGAGAGGGAACACAAGCAGGGGGAGCAGGAGAGGAAGAATCAGGCTTCCCGCCCAGCAGCGAGCCCGATGTTGGGCTCGATCCCAGGACCCCGGGATCATGACCTGAGCTGAAGGCAGCCACTTAACTGACTGAGCCACCCAGGTGCCCCATCAACTGGGACCATTTTTAAACAAAATCTCCACTTGAGGTTTTTAGGAGACACAACATAAATTTTGGCTACAAATCCACATGAAGGCTTGTAGTTGCAAAGACTTTTTTTTTTTTTTTTTACATGTACCTGGCACCAGGGTCCACACAGGCCATTTTTCCATCCCTTCCACTCCGTGGGTCTTTCACTCACCCTCATACTGAGGCTGTAGTGGAGGTCAGAGCCTAAGTTTATATACGGTCTTCTGTTAGATTCCATGTGGGGTGGGCCCCAGCTTTTCTTGTGTCTCCTTCACCGCAGCAGCAATAAAAAAGGGTATTTATGGTCACCACTGTTCATGGATACCCCCAGGGCAAGAACTGCTTTGGGTGTTTTCTTCAATTTGTTTTTAGGCCTCTGCAGTAGCTCTTGAGTCCATGTTATTAATTGCTACATGGTGCTGCCTCACAAGGCAGTGGTAATGGTGATGGGAGGAAAGAAGTGACAGGCTGGAAGCATCTATGGGACATCTTTACCCATTGGATATGAAAAACCAGAGAAGGGGAGAATATAAGCTGATACTCATTTTTTATCTTGGGTTACTAGAAAAGTGACTTTGTTTTGAACGTTTTAAATTTGCATTCTGAAAACATATACACAAAACACTTATAAACTCTGATAATCTCACTTCCCACAGAGGACCACTTTTAATTTGGTGTGTTGTGTATGTATATACCTATACCATTTGCTCTTGTAAACTTAACTTAGCATGAATTTTGGGAGGAAATTATCTCAGGATGTCATCAGGCAGGATGTTACCTGTGATGGTTGTTGGGTAAATGGTGGGGATTGCCGGCAAGTACTGGGAATACTGAGAGATCCTTGCAGGCTACAGAGTCCAAGAATTTCCTCTGAAATTTAAAGTGCAGGTGGCTTTCTGAGTCAGCTTGGGAGACAGTATAGGATTCTCTACGATGGGAATCGGCATGCATGGCAAGAAAGGAGCAATGGGGTCACTGGCATTGTGGGTTGGTCAAAGTCCTCTAACCACAGACTCCCCTGTGTTCTCCAGCTTTGTGGCTTCCTTCCCTCTTGATTCTGGTTCATTTAGCCATTGACTAGGTGGTCTCCAAAATTTACCACATGCTGTTAGGGAGACTGAGGCTGTGGCTTTACCATCAAAATAGGCTCCACATCAGCCTCTTGGCTTTGGCTGGCTGCTTCTGGGGCACATTGTTATCTTCAAGCAAGGAATGAGAACACTTGTGTTTCTAGGTGGGTCAATAATGATCTTGGGCCAGTGGTCTCTTTTAAGTTTTACTTCCCGGACTTTAAATAAAGCTGAGAATTCCTGCCTTTTCCATTATGGATTTATCCATAAATCCAAGACATAGGTTTGGACTCAAGGAAGAGTCCCAGAAGCAGCGTAATAACTTAAATCCAGGCTCCCACCAGGTTCCCACTGGGGCTAAGCACATAACGTCAGGCTTCAGCCCATTCCCAGCACTGCCTTTCTATTTTAGCTGAACCCAGAATCTGTTGGTTTTTCTCTTGGGCTGAGATGGTAAAAGGACCTCAAGGAATAAAATATTCCCTCTTGTAGGTAGCAGCCCTTTCCGGAGATGCACGACGCTGCCTGGATATTTGTAGGCGTGCCACAGAGATCTGTGAGTTCTCCTGCCAGAAGCCTGACTCTCCTGGCCTGGTCACTGTAGCTCACTTACTGCAAGCAGTAGATGAGATGTTCTCATCGTCATATATCACTGCCATCAAGTAAGTTGCTTCTAACGGATGTGGATAACAATATTGTCCTATGATCATGTGTAACTTGACAAATATAGCTACAAAGGCAATTACATATATAAATGTTTCAAAGTAACACACTGTATGCCTTAAAAATGCATAATGTTATATGTCATATATATTCAGTTTTTTAAAAAGTAAGATGCTTCTGTTTCCTGACCCTGAACCTTTCTTGGAAGACCACAGGAGAGGTCCACAGTGTGGGAAGGCCATGGAAGTTTCTAAGCTTTTACTTATTCAACCTGCATTTACTGAAGACGCTGTCCTTTTCTTAAGGGGCATAGTCTACAGGGAGATAGGAATGCAAACCTAGGAGAGTGGGAGAATCATGACCACTTACTGAGTTATACTCCAGGTGCTGAGTGAAGTAAAGTGCTATTGGAACAAGAGGAAGGAAGCAGCTATTCCTCTCCCACTGAGGGAGATGTATATTTCCAGATGTAGTTGCTGTGTTCCCTAGCTTCCATAGTGGCATTTTCTATATCATTTTGAAACTTTAGGGGGGTAGAGAAAACCTTGCCGAATAATGTAGGAGAAAGTTTTTCCCAGTTTTTTCCTCTCTCTTCTCTAAAGACACAGAAAAACTTTACACGGCTTTTCTCTGAGCCAGTGGTATAGTCACTTACGAGAATTCACATCTCATTTTCTTTTAAGAAATTCCTCTGTTCTGGAACAGAGTTTCCTGAGAGCCATCCTTGCTGAGTTCCGTCGATCAGGACTGGAAGAAGCAACATTTCAACAGGTGATTGATCTTTAAATCCTTTTAGATTTTGCTCTTGGTGCCTTTTAAATAGGAGGGAATTTCAATGGCTGTGTAAGAGTTTGTCTCTATTTGTGCCAACCCAATCATGCCAAAGAATGTCAGAGCAACACCTATTTTTTTTAAAGATTTATTTATTTATTTGAGAGAGAGTGTGTGAGCAAGAGAGGGAGAAGGAGTAGAGAATCTCCTCCCCTCTGAGCAGGAAATGCAGGGCTCAGTCTCACCACCCTGAGATCATGACCTGAGCCGAAATCAAGAGTCGGACACTTAACCAACTGAGCCACCCAGGCGCCCCGTGTGTGACTATATTTTAGACATAGAGGGGCGCCTGGGTGGCTCAGTTGGTTGAGCGTCTGCCTTCGGCTCAGGTCATGATCCCGGGGTCCTGGGATCGAGCCCCGCCTCAGGCTCCCTGCTCGGCGGGGAGCCTGCTTCTCCCTCTCTCGCACTCCCCAGCTTGTGTTCCCTCTCTCGCTGTCTTATAAAAAAATCTTAAAAAAAAAAAAGCCTTTAGACATAGAAATGGAGAGGCCCAGCTACTTCTGTACTTCCTTTCACGTTTTCTTTACTTATTTAAATTGTTTTAAACTGCTAGTTACGTTTGCCGGTTATTGTTGTCCTACAGCCTGAGACAGCTCTTCAGCAGAGTGGCTTTCAGTTTAGTTTGTAAACATTTCCTGAACATCTACAATGTGTCATTAACTGTGAAGATGTGCCAGGAACCCTGAGTTGAATTGGTCAATATCCCTGCTCCTGACAAGCTCCCAGCCTGGGTGGGGGTGGGGGTGATTTATAAAGAGAATGGTGACCAGGAAGTGTGGCAGGCTTGCCTGGCCCCCTGGGGGCGCTTTAGGAATCCATGTTTCCCACTGTCCTCCTGGCCTCTCTTTATGCAGTATTCTCCCTGGGCCTTTGTGCTTTTCCAAGGCTTTAGCACCTGTGCACTATTATCTGCTAAGGAAAATGCCTTTGTAGCAAAGTGACTTGATTTACGACAATCTCATTTGGAACTCTCACTCCAGGGAGACTAGGACTGTTTGTGTAAGTGACACTTACTAGATATATCCATTAACACATGAAGGATGTGGCAGTATATTTAATAGATAAAACTAAAGCTCAAAAAGTGAAATAACTTGCCCAGGGTTGCATATTTAGGTGATTAGTAGAACCAGGATTCAGACCTGTTCTGATTCCAAAGCCCAACTAGCATTCTGCCCCCGCATTTGTGCCCCACAAAGGCACCTGTTGATGCCTTCAGGGTGTTGAGGATCCTGGATAAGAAGCGTCTGACTTGCCTACAAGAAGAAATAAATGATCAGGTACAGAACCAGTACTACCTTCCTTTCCTCTTCCGCTTTCTGGTGTCTGACCTCGGATTTGCTCTTTGTTTTTTAGGTATACAGTCAACATGTGGCACTGTGCAGAATGGAGGGACTCCCGTACCCCACCATGTCAGAGACAATGGCAGTGTGCTCTCACCTGAGCTCTTGCCGCCTCCTCCTTGTGGGACCCAGCAGGAACGACCTGCTTCTTCGTGTGCGGCTCAACATCAGCCAGGACGATGTGCTGTATGCGCTGAAGGAGTGAAGGGCTTCACAGGGAAGGACTGTGATCAGCTCTTTTCAAAGGGCCTGAATTCCTCTTTCTAAGCACATGGAATTGTAGCAAAACATAATGAAATGGCTGTCACATATTTTGAAATTTTCCATTAAATAATTTGATTTTTCTAGAGTGTCTTGAGAAGTTTACAGTCATAACAAACACCAGATTAAAAAACCAAACCATCCTTCCTACAGTAGGCCCTCATTGTGACTTTTCTGTTAACCCTGCCATTTATTTAACAGCAGCATGGTATGCACATAATTACGTGTATCTGTATAAAATAGTTGTGGGAGAATATGTAAGAAATTGGTTACACTGGTGGCCTCTGGGAAGGAACTAGATGGCTATGGTCAGACTTTAGAGGAAGACGTACTGTAAGTCATGTATCTTTTAACTTTTGAACAATGTGAATATAACAAACTTAGTTTATAAAAGAGAACTGCTGCTTGGAGAGCCTGGGTGGCACAGTTGGTTAACTCTCCAACTCTTGGTTTCAGCCCAGGTCATGATCTCAGGGTCACGAGATCGAGCCCTGCGTTGGGTTCTGTGCTTAGTGTGGAGTCTGCTTAAGGCTATCTCCTCTCTCTCTGAAATAAATAAATCTTGGAAAAAAAAACAAAACTGGGAATAATACCAGCGATAAATAATCCATACAAATAGCTAGAAAATATAATTTTTAAAAAGTTATAAAAACAAATCTTTAAGTAAAAAACACTTAGAAGGCATAGAAAATATAAGATAAGAAATAAATCTAATAAAGAGATGTAATCTCTAAAATACCTATTTCAGTCAAAATCTTGGCAGGGTTTTTGTGTAACTGCAATTCTCATATTTATATTTCCAACCAATAAAGGAACTGACATTTAAAGCCCCCTTGTGTCGGGCACTGAGAAAAACACATCATCTGTGTAATAGTCCTGCCAGAAATGTTTGACCCGAATTTATAGATGAGAAAATTATCAGATAAATTATGCAAAGCAACTGTTCCTCTTCAAAAACATGGGTATCACAAGACCAAAAAACCAGGGAGGAGCTCTTTTAAACTAAAGGAGAATAGAGAAACTGAGACCTAAATAGCTAAATGCACCGTGTGAACCTTGACTGGGTCGTGGACTTAGAGATACAAACAATTATAAACATTATTAGGGACTAAATATTATGTAAGTTTTATGTAAATGCTAAACTTTGTAAATGGTAAGTTACTGTGGTTATATAGGAGAATGTCATTCTTGAAATACTTATGAGTGAAATAGAACACCTGCAAATAATTCAGAAAAATATATATAACTGCATATAATGGATGATCAGTATCAGTAAATTATTCAATTAATAAAAAGGAAAAAGGTGAATAAGTCATCTACAGAATAAGACACATGAAATGACCAACAAAATGGAAATAGTAAATGAGGCCTGCAAGTCAAAACCTTTCACATGTATTAGAAAACCTTTCTAGGACCATAGGGAACAACTGGAACCCAAATGCCCCACTGACAGGAATGTAAACAAACTACTTTGGAGGTGATTTGGTAATATTTAATCTGGAAAATGCAGAAACCCTATGAGACAGCAATCCCACTCCTAGGTATATACCCTAGAGAAACACATTGTACCCCAGGAGTTGTGTACAAGAATGTTCATAGCACTATAATGGCAAGCCTTTGGGAAAGTGAATTATTTTCATACTTTGAAATACTGCAGGGAAGTGAAAAATAGCTAGATATAGTATTGATGTAAATGAAGCTTACAAATAGAGTTGAAAAAGTTGAAGAATAGATGTACTGATACCAATGATACAATGTTAAAGCTTGCCAAAAAAAATTGCTGTAGATTGCTTAAGGATCTATACATACATAGTAGAAATAAAACACCAAATTCAGCTCAGGTCATGATCCCAGGTCCCACTCTGGGGGCAGCCTGCTTCGCCCTCTCCCACTCTCCCTGCTTGTGTTCCCTCTCTTGCTTGCTGTGTCTGTCAAATAAGTAAAATCTTAAAACACCAAATTCAGGAGAGTAGGTTATCTCTTTGGGGAAAGGGTTGCAACATGAGAGGCGTAGGGTGGCTTCAACTGTCTATTGTACTGGTTTTTTTCTTAAATTTGTGGTAGATACCCATGTATTTATGTCTCCTCACACAAAAAATAGGAAGTATTGAGTACCTACCATGTACCATGCAGTGCCCTAAGCACCAAAGATAACTTGGATAACAGAAATGTCTGTTGGCTTGCATTCAAGCAAATACGAGATATTGTATGTCTCTCTGTATATATTAAATATTTCATAAAATAAAACGTATTAATGAAAAAAAATATGAGAGCGAATCTTCAATTGTAAACGGCTAAAGACGGCCTCTTTGGAAAATGACCCAAAGGAGTAAGATCAAAAAGTTTTTGTCCAAGAAAACGAAGATTTTTGAAACTGCTAACTACAAACCGAAAAATCATAATTTTAAAGTTCAGGGAGTGCGTTGCTGGGTTTGTTTCAGGTGAAGATTCTCTGTACCGCCCCTCCACCCGCCATTTCATCGTTCTAATCTCTTCGTGTTAAACTGTCTGAAGTGACTTCATGAAGAGGTGCCATGAACACTGCCTGTCTTAGGTTATTCAACCGCCTTCTGACTAGAAAAGATACATTCAGTTGCTGAATGAATAAGAAAGAAATGGTGCGCCCCACTCTCATTTCTCTAGACTCAATTACGAAGAAAATCTCGATGAAGGGGAAAAAACAAGTAAGCCCCTCCTCTGGGGCGGAGCCTACGCCAGGCCCGCCCCCACGCCGAGGGGGGCGGGGCGAGTGTGAGCCCAGGAGTATCGTACTGGGATTACGGGAGGAAGCTTGGCGGGTTAGTTGTAAATGCAGGGACAAGGGATGCACCTACTGCATTTGCGCCAGCACCGGCACACCCCCAAACCGCCCAACTACCCTCTCCGCGAGCGTCGCGCTACCTGCGCAAAGGCGCCTGCGCGCTGAAAAGCTCACCCTTCGAGTCACCTGTTGGGACGCCACGCCCACCTCGTTTTGCGCATGCGGAGTGCGCGTCTTACAAGCCGTAGAGTCACGTGTTGGGGCGCGAGCAGTCTCCCGCAGGGTCGCTTCCTGTCACGGTCGCAGCAGCCGCCGCCGCTGCCGCTGCCGCCCGGGGGCCGCGGGAGCCCTGGGCGGTGCCGGGCGGGATCAGGCCCAGACTGGTTTCGGATCCGGCGTGAGGTATGCAGCGTACCCACCCCCCGGCGAGGGGAAATACGGGCTGCGGGGGAGGTGGAGGCGCTGGGGCAGGGCAGGGCGGCGCGTTCTGCCGCGTGGGAGTGGGGTCCCTCGGCTTCGCCTCCCCTGAGCCTTCCCGCTGTCCTCTTCTCTCCTGAGTCCGGGCCCAGCTCCGACGCTCCCAGCCCGATGCCCCGGAGCCGCAAACTCGACCTGTCTGACTGACCTCGTCTCTTCTCCGTGTCCGCTCATTCCGAGCCCCCGGCTCAGGTGACGGCCGGCCATTCACCTAAGTCAGCGAACTCTGCCGGCTGGAGTCACCCTGAGCGCCCCCTTCCGTGCACCCACAGCCAGTTAACCTCGGAGCCCTGTTGATTTTACCCCTCTCAGTGGGGTATCCATCCGCTTCTCTCCCATCCCCGACGCCACCGCCGCGCTCCCCTCCGCTCACCACTTCGCGGGGACCGTTGCGAGATGCTCGCTACCGAGAAGGCTTCGAGCCCCCACTCTCCTACCTCTTCCTCTCTGCAGCCAGAGGGAGGTTTCTGAATCGCCGACCTGGTCCCGTCGCGTCCCGTGCCCTCAGGACCGTGCCCAGAGTCCTTTAGGCTTAAAGAATTTTCCGTTTTGCCCCCTGTACAGATTTTTAGCTTCTCTTGTACTATTTCTTTCCTCACACTTCATGCCCCAGTAATCCCAGGTCTTTAGCTTGTGCAGATCAAACTGTTTCTCACCTCGGAACCATTATCAGGTTGTTCCCTCTGGAATTCCGTACCTCTTCCTTACCCCCAACTTTTTCATGACTCAGCACAGCATCACTTTCTCCACGAAGCCTTTTCTCTCTGTGCTGGATAAGTGGCCGCTCCTGGGGATCCAGGGCCCCTGGAACAGCCCTGTGTGGTTTTTGTCCAATGCCGAGGCTGCCTTCACCGTGTAAATAAATGCTCTTTGAGGGCTGAGACCATGTCAGATTCATTCCCGCTCTTGCAGTGCCCGGCACAGGTTCTTTCACGTAGTAGGTCCTGTGAAAGGTTGTGAGATCTTTGAATCAGAATGCTGACTCCCGATTTCTCTGGAGCAGAACAGGCCAATAGAACTTTGTGTGGTGATGAAAATGTTCAGCAGGCCAGTGGTAGCCACTAGTTGAGGAACTGGATTTTAGATTTCAGTTTAAAGTTAAATCGTCACATATGGCTACCATGTTTGACAACACAGGTTTAGAGCCTTTCTGAATCCTATCCAGTCTTGCACCCACCTGGTCTCTGAATCCGCCCTCCTATGCCCCTCCCCTTCACTCATCCTCTTGGGTTTAATCCAAATTGGTCAGTCAGTTCAGTAAGTTCTTACTGTGTGTCCACGCTCTCCACTTAAACCCATTAACAGGTGGGCCCCATCCCTTCCATTGTCCATGTTGCTTGCTATGATTCCAGAGACAGTATTTCATCCTTTGGTGTTAAAGGTTGTTTTTTGCCTCTGGTTTCGGAGTTTACTAACCACACCCTACCACAGGCAGCACTATTGGGGGTGGGGCTTTGTAGGCTGCTCCAGTCTGAGTCTCTTCCCCTCCCCATCAGACAGGTATCTAGGGTGTCAAGATGCCAGGGCCAAGACCTCGGAAAGGCCCTCAGGCCAGTGGCCAGGGTGTGGCAGCTGCAAAGCAGGTATGGATATAGCCTCCTTCACTCCTGGGCCAGTCTGAGGGGGGTCTTTAGACAGCTTGGGCAAACTGGGTCACC